AAAAGAGCGGGAAATTTTTAAGGGAATGTTCAATTCTTTTGCGATGCACAAACAATGGTCAGTTTCAATTATAATATTATTTATGGGCGTCGTCCGAAAAGCATAACAACTTGCTCTAACGGCTTGGTGATAGACCGGTTTAAGGATATTGATATTAGATTTGCAGCTATTGCCATAAATTATCAAAGCATAGTCAATCTTGCTTAACACAAGCATTTTGGTAAGATAAGCAATAGTGTTAATCTGCGCGTGGCTTCTCCAAGCAAGGTACTGTATGAAATTCACCCTTCTTAAAATAGAATTTTTTAACCGAAGACAGTGAGCTTTCCAACGTTATTTGTTGGAAAACGTGAGCCCGAAAATACGCAGCGTCTGCACGTTTAGTACTGGTAAATCATTAATATGCATCAGTAGATTTCCTGCATCGCAAATCTGCTTTCGACAAATGTGCATTTTTTTAGATTTTTGTATGGAAATTTTAGCTCCTGACGAGTTTGCCCATGTGGAGATCTCACATGCAATAGATTCGAGGATGTTGATTGCTTTCGTGTTGTCTTTTTCTTTTGTAAAAATGTATACATCGTCCACGTAGAGACAATGTACCTCTCTTCGTACACGGCAAAGAATTTTGCTAATTTCGTTGAAAGCGATCTGGAAAAGCGTGACAGAGAGAGGAGATCCTTGCGGAATGCCATTCTTTAGCGGAAAGGAATCAGAAAGATGATTGTTGATTCTAACTTTGAACCGCCGATGCGACATGAATGATTTGATGTAGTTGAAGAATTTGGGTCCGACATTCCATGATTTCAAGAGTCTTATGATAACATGAAGACCAACTGCCATTCATGAAGACCAACTCTGTCAAATGCTTTTTCGAAATCAATTGAAAGATTTGTTGCATGGTTTCGTTCGGAAATTGCTTCGCTTGAAACCAACTTGTTGTTTTGTTATCAGATTCTTGGACTCAAGAAACCAAGGTAATCTAGATGCCATAATCTTTTCCAATACCTTTGAGAAGTAAGATAAAAGAGAGATTGGGCGATAGTCCTATGCGATGGAGGCATTTTTTGACTTTGGAATTGGAACAACTGTAGCCAGTTTCCACATGTAGGGTATATGGCCAGTCCAAAATACTGTATTATATAGGTCCAGTAATTCCTTTTTATTAGACTTTGACATAGCGCTGATCATTTGGTATGAGATGCGGTCTAGACCAGGTGTTCTCCCCTTCGATTTGGAGAGACAACTTCTAAGTTCTAAGGTGGATATGCAATTTTCCAGGAACATGAATTTGAAAGAGATATTGGTGGAACACGTTTTTCATTAGAAGGAGTTTGAGTTAAAGGCTTACTAGACACGATTTGCGAGGCAACAGCAGCGTAGGTATTACTTTTTCCAATTGCTAAGGCTATAGATGGATTTCTTTCCCGGTATGTGCGTCGCGCTTCGCCCATGCTACAATAATTTTCTGTTTTGATTTTTAGAATTTCACGCATTTGTATAAAACGAGGGCATTGTTTGTCTAACGCAGAGTGTTGATCGTTGCAATTTAAGCAGAAGCTACGCGTACAGTTTTCAGGATGTGGAGGAAAACCACAGTTAGCACAAGATGCAGCACTAGTGCATCTTTTTGTCGTATGACCCAGGCGTTGGCAATTTTTACACCTCATAGGATTTGGGATTTACATTTATATCACGCCACATCACCTGTTCGCGGTAATCGATAGCGATCAAAAGTTAAAATAATCCTTCCTGTAGGAGAGCGTGTTTTTCCGTCATCATTCAGTTTGGTAAATTTATATACTTCAGTCACTCCTTGATTGCCCATTTCGCGGACAATTTCATCTTCCGGCACATGCTTTAAGCAAGGGGCATAAATTACGCCTCGAACCGAGTTAAGTTTCTCATGTAGTTTAGCTGAAATAGCACGTAGATTAGCTAAAGATTTGGCCTTTATGAGCTTTTCGGTTGCGCGCGCGTTCCCAGCGAGGACCAGTAAATTCCCATCGCGTGGAAGACTGGTGCATCTTTTTGCAGTATGGCCCAGGCGTTGGCGGTTTTTACACCTCATGGGATTTGGAATGTAGAGTTCTATTTTACATTTGTACCAAGCTACATCAACCGTTGCCGGTAGCCGATAGCGGTCAAAAGTCAAAATAATTCTTCCTGTAGGAGAGCGGGTTTTTCCATCGCCATTTAATTTGGTGAATTTGTAGACTTCAGTCACTCCTTGCTGCCCATTTCGCGCACAATTCCATCTTCCGGCACATGCTTTAAGCATGGGGCATAAACTACGCCTTTAACCGAGTTTAGTTTGTCATGCAGTTTAGCGGATATAGCGCACAAATTGGCTAATGATTTAGACTTTATGAGCTTTTCGGTTGCGCTGGATTTCCCAGCCAGGACAAGTAAATTTCCATCGCGTAAAATCGATATAGCGTCTATATACGTTGTAATGCAATCTAGTGCTTTTTTAATAGCGAAAGGGCTGAATTGCGAAATTGTTACATATTTTTTGTCGATAGGAACGATGAGTAGCTGGTTGGCAACACCGGAAATTCGGAATTTTTAATTTTTTTCTTCGACGGGATACGTCTGCTAATGGATGAAATCTATTTGAATTTTTATCAGGCGGCCCCGGCGCTATTATGCCTTATGGTTGTCTATTATTTACTTATTTGTTAAATAACCACTCACTTGAAAAGGTTTGGGAAACTACTGAGGATAATGTCAAATGTTTTCTGTTTTTTTTTTTTTTTTTTTTTTTGGAATTAATGGAAACACGTACGGTATCCGCGATGATCAGTTTTAGCAATAAACACACAAAAAGATCAGTATATTTTAATAAATTTTAACACTTTTAAAAACGTATAAAGCAAAAAAGAAGAAATTGCAAAATTTTTTTGCACAAAGAAAAAAATATGACCACAGCGCTTGTACAGAGTTGCCGTTGTACTGATGGAGGAATAGATTAAGATAGATCGCTCTGTGGTTTAACGTCTACACCTGGCTCGATGCTTTAATCAGACGGGTTGCCTACAACCATAGGCACTCAATTAGGTTGAGTGATCACCCCCCGCGGGGAAAGACAATCCCCTAATAAGGCGGCCTTTCTTATCCCGAGGTGCGCAGATGGTTCACCGTGTATGGCCGTATGAACCGCCACTCTGGTATGTGGTGAGGCCTATCATCACCCCGGATTTATTCCAATGGATATGGAATGGTGAAAACCACAGCCACCACGATGCTCCCCGAAGTGCCGCACGCAAGCAGTCAGGGTTCCCAAGGATGACGTACCTACCAGCGAACTTTCCTGGTACATCACAACCCTCCTGGCCTCCTGACCCCCGTGGCGCTTAAAATTAGTCTACAAAGCCTTTAGCCTTACTTTGCGCTCAACAAAACGATTGGCAACGCCAATTTGGACTTCCAACTTCCTTCTTCTTGATCTAACCGCCTTTGAGGTAAGGTGCAAACCAGGAAACTAAGATCCGTAATCATCCGGAATTGTGCGTGCTGTCCGTGGACAAGTGACGTTAAGATAAAATAGGCATTTCAAGTTTAAGACTATATAAGTGGCTTTAAGTTTGGT